AATTCAAAAAGAGGTTGGACGAACACCTGTCTGGGGTTGTTTGATCCCAGTGCGAGCTCCTACCAGTGGCAGGGGGTCAGACTAGATGATCTGTTCAGGTCCCTTCTGACCCCAAACTACTATGAAACTATGAAGGTTTCATTGAAGATGGGGGAGGCAGGCAGGTGGATTGGAGCCCCCCATCTCTCATCTTGCAGACAGCACTGGAGCTGGGGGAGGGGAGCCTCTCTCTCCCCTGGATCGGCTCCAAAGTGGAGCTTGATTCCCCCCTCCCACCCAAACAGCTAATGCCTGTTGGGTCAGGTGTGGGGGAGGGGGTCATTGTAACTCATAGAACTTTCTGTGAAGTGCCATAAGTTACAGCAGGGAGCTGCCCATCTGTCAGCACCCAGTATCAACACAAACAGGGCAGATTTTAAAGTGAAAATGCCAAAGACATTACACTACGTTATTTACCTTGTATTCGTATAGATCCAGCATTATGGAAAGACTCATCTTTGATCTCATTTACAACCACCCGTACTGTTGAGACCACATCTGGCCAGATGTCATCAGTAACTTTCACTCTTACATTGTATGTTCCTGCTGGGATACCTTCTTCAATACTCAGCAACCCTGAGTTATCATCAAGGATAAAGTACCTGCAGTAGAAGTTATGAGATAGGGAAAAGGTAAACAGAAAGATAATGTCCTATAGGCTTGCTCTGAACAAAGGTTATGACTTCCAAAACCTGTCTACATTAGCCTGACCACTGTTACCATCAGCAACAGGGCTATACACAATGGAAAAATTGTACAAAGATTAAATAAAAAATCTAGAGCAGGATTATTTGGTTATTATATTGTTCTGGAGAGAATTCCCTTACCAAAGCTACTGCACTAACAGATCCACCCACTCACTCCTGGTACAGAAGGGGAGTGATGAGTCAGAATGGAATAGAACTCCAAAACATTTATCCATCATTGCTTTAAGGTTGAAAAGACTCATTAGAGGCATGAGATGAAGCAAACCCTCTGCTTTTTGCTGGGTGGCACACAATTAGATAGTTACAACCACCTCCTTGCAAATCAGCGCAAATCCTTATACTAAGGTACATTTTACCTCCATCCAAACAGTTAAACAGCACTGGTCCAAGTCACCTATACACTTGTACATTTGTACAAATCCCATCAGCCTAGTGCAAAACCTCCCAGTGCAGACAAAGCTTCACAAAACAGGCAGTGGCACTGAAACATTATTTCTTCAGTTAAGAAGAGATGAGAAAGCCATTTGTGAATTATTTCTCTTCTGTGGTCTACTGATATTAGCACTGGATAGGACTTTAATCAGGGATTTAGCATTCTGGCTTGTTAATCAGGTACATACATAAGCCCAAGGCCCTAGTCTTAAACCTATATGATCTGCTGTCAACAGCTGCCAATCAAAATCCTGATCTCTGTTTTCAGCAACCTGCTCCCTAAGCCACAGAGGTATTTTGGGTAGTATTCAAGTTACTCCTCCCAACTACAGTTTGACATTGCAGCCATTATCCTTCTAGAAAAGATGAAAGATTTTCCACTTCTCTGAATACATCAACACGTAGCACAACTTCTGTTTGTTGAAACTATGAAAAGTGCTCTTCTCTTCAAGGGAAGAACATTTCATCTCTGCAAATGCTGGACCAGGAAGCAACAGAAAAGACTGAACTGGAGCACACAGTGTGAGAAGGCATTTGGAGAACTGCATATAAGCATTATACATACACTGAATGGAAGGCAATATACTGTGGCACTTTTGCTCTTTAAAAAACAAAAAAAGTTTAGTACCTTACATTTTTAAAAACATTTTAAAACTCATTTCATCAAGTTTATATGCCTCTTTAAATACCTTGATGTTTTTTCTTCAAAGTGATACGTCTTGTGATCCCAGTCATCTTCATCTGGTGCACTGATCTGGCCCAGCACTATTGTGGGTAGGTTACCTGAAATAATTAAATAATTTCTGAATATCCTATGTTGATGTGGCTGTTTGCTATATGACATTTTTGATTATCATCTCAACAGGAGGTTGTCTCAGAAAACAAGCAGGAAGAATATGATAAGTCACCTCAAGCAAATACTTTAAAAAAAATTGTTAGAGGACAATGTCAGAACCATTAGTCTTGATTATTTAGCCTTAGTTTCCAGCCAACCTAAAAAAACTGGTTTCAGAAAGACAGGAAAAGGTCTGTTAATCAGAAGAATGATTGAACTCTGAAGTAAAAGTAAGCCTTTTTCAAAAGACAGAGTGTTTTTTTGGAAAACCAGACCAAGGCAGAAAACCCCTGTGGGGACACAGAGATATTGAAAGATGTTAGGCTTACTTATGTTACCTTCAAGAGATGATAAGAATTTATAAAGATACAAAAAAATATAGATAGCATTATTTTAAAATTCTCTCTAAGAGCTCCACTCCTACTAGAGGGTACATTTGTTTTAATAAGTATGTTTTGGTCTCTATGCAGTGCTGGTCACAAAATCCCATAATTAAGTTGCACGTATTCAAACTCAGTTGGACCTGTAGGTAAGAATGGTGGATACACAGGTTCCACCAATTCTTTCTGAGGGATCCTTTGAGTGGGGTGCACTCTGAGACTCAAGAGGGGCCATATACAGCACCTGCCTGACCACCTGCCTAGCACACCATGATGTTCTACCTCCTTGCCAGACTGCATCCTGCACCCCTGCCTGCCTGCAGCAGTGCTGCTGACTTGTGGGAGGGGCACCAAATACATGATCGCAGAGGATGCCATTTTCCCTAAGGCTGGCTCTGGGTGACAGTATTTAGTTGACAAATATGTTTTGCATGTAAGACAGTGTGCAATTCCTCCAAAATCCAAATAAGGCAGACAACATGAAGGGAAAAAACTGTCCTTACTCTGCTGCACACATCATGGATCTTTTTTTTAAATAGGTGTAAGACAAAATTTCAGAGCTGACAAAACAGAACAGTTTTGTTTCTGAAAAGGTTTCCAAATTAACTGAAACTAATATTCCAATATTCCACTTTCCCAGAGCAGGAACAAAGTTTCTTGGTGACTGCTAAAGACAACAGAGGCATTGTGGGCAAACAGCAGCCACCCATATTACATCAAATCAAACCAAACTGTAAGGCCCCATTAAAAAACAAAAAACAACCCCCCCCATAATTATCTAATACAGGGCATTATCTATTTATGAACACTTTATAAATCTGCCCTGATCAAATACACTAGTTATTTGGGATACTATGGAACCATCAGGTGTAAAGTAGGAAGGATCTGAGGACATCTGCATCTCACACCAGTTTCTCTTGATCTGAATGAAACACTGTGAAACAAGCTTCAAAATTGAATACCGTTGTAGCTGTAAATGAGGAATTCCACATGGCCAGCAGAATGAGGATGATCATTTTGGTCTCCAATATTAATTGCTAGTGTGTTGGTTGAGCTCATAGGTGGGGTCCCACTGTCTGTGATCAGGATTGGAAGGTAAAACACTTTCTGTTCTTCCCTGTCAAAGGTACACAATGCAGTAAGCAGAGCACTTCCATTGTGGAAATCGTGCAAGTTAAAGAGATCTATGTTGCCTAAATCATTGAGTAGGTGAAAGGAGAAAGGTGGTCCATTAGTTGCAGTGTCTCTGTCTTTAGCATATAACAAGGTGGAAGTTTCATTCATTTGGACAATTTGTGGAGGAGCAGTGTTTTCCCAAATCACTGGGTTGTATTGGGCCTCAAACTCCGGCCCATTGTCATTTACATCCTGCAGAGCCACAAAGACAGTGGCGCTGCCAGTCAGTGCAGGCTGTCCCATATCAGTGGCAGTGACTACAAGGTGGTACTGTGGCATGGCCTCATGATCCAGCAATCCTTCAACCACAACCCAACCATCATAATTCATGGAGAATTGGCCACTTGGGTCAGAACTGTTTAACAACTGATAAGAGAACCTTCCATTGAGTCCAGAATCTAAATCAACAGCAGAAACTTGGACAACTCTGGTACCAAGAGCTACATTCTCAGCCAGAGCAGCCACTTCATAGAATTGGGGATAAAAGGCAGGTGCATGGTCATTGGAATCCTCCACGTACACCACACAGTAAGCAGTGCTGAAGAAGTTCACGTCTTCAACTTTCAGAGTCAAATTGAACACCTTCTCATAAGGCTTCTCAAAGTCTATTTGTTTCCTCAATCGAATAGTCCCATGCCTGTTGATCTTATCAGTCTCTATGGAAAATTTATTATCATCATCTCCATCAAGAATACTGAAATTCACAACAGCATTTTCTCCCTCATCTCTGTCCATAGCAGATACTACTGTGATCTTTGTGTTGACACTTACATTCTCAGAGACGAAAGCCACGTACAACCTTTGTGTAAAGACTGGAGCATGGTCATTGATATCAGATACCAAAATGGTGGCGGTGCCTGTCCCAGTGAGTCCACCACCATCTTTTGCTTCAACTACCACAAGGTATTTGTCTTCCTTCTCCCGGTCTAGAGATCCGAGCACAGTGTAGATTGTGCCAGTATCTGGGTTGACTGAAAACAAGTTGAGGTTTATTTCATTTTGGACATTTTGAGTAATTCTGTAAGTTAGCACTGCATTCAACCCCATTTTAGGGTCATCCAGGTCTATAGCAGTCATGTCCATTACAGCAGTGTCTGCTGGGGAGCCTTCAGGAACATGACCCACAAAACAGCCATCTGACATGCAAAGGAAAAGAGGTGGGTTGTCATTCACATCACTCACTTCTATGAAAACATCTGTAAAGCCAGTCAGACCCTCCCCATTTTCATCTGTAGCAAGAACAAGAAAGTGCCATATGGATTGCTTCTCACGGTCTAGCTTCTTATTGGCATGGATCTCTCCCGTGTACTCATTAATACTGAACTTGCTGTTGGCCCCCTGTCCATGCAGTGTGTAGCAGAGGGCACTCTGGTCAGCTTCTTGATCAGGGTCAGTTGCCAAAACCTAAAACAAACCACAGCATGCATGTGCAAGTATGTGAGAGGGAAAGAATAGAAACTTACTGCATCTTTAGTGAGGGCAGCTGGTACTATGCAGGCCTAATAAAGAACATGAATGTGCAATTTAACTGTTAAAGCAAACATCTATTGGTTTCAGTCATTGTGATCAGGGATCCTTTCCACGAAGATTATGGCTGGATTACAGAAGTAAACTGATAGTGCATGTTTTCTACAGACTCGTGCACTGGGGGAGGACAAAAATCTACAAGAAAAGTTAGGTAGCAGTAGTAGTAGTGGAACAATGGAGCAAGTGTATGTAATAAACTAGTACCAGATGGGATACAGGAGGAGACAGGAGAAGGTTAGCAAGTGCCTAGATCCTTTTCTCCCCAGGCCTGAGACTACTACATACATATTTTTGGCACTTCCAGTCTCCCCCAGCACTCTAGAATAGTAAAGAACTTCACACATACTAAGGAATTAAACCTCAACACCTGTGAAGTAGGTGCGTTCTTTCATTTTACAGAGGGAGAAGTCAAAGCACATAGCAAATGAAAGTGATTTGGACCAGGGTCACAAAAGGAAGTCTGTCACAGCTGGGAAGAGAAATGAGAAGATATTGACTTGTACAGTAACTGGAGTTCTTTGAGATGGCTTGTCATATGTGTATTCTTTTCTTGGTGCATAGAGCTCATGTCCCAAAGACATTTTGTCCTACAGTATTTATGTGGTGCACAACCCCCTTAAGAGTTAGTGCATCTCCGACTGATGACAGAATATACTAACAATGTCTTGGTCTTCTGAAACACTGAAGTCCAAGTGGACAGGATACGGAGGCAGAGGGGACAGAGGAGTAGGTTGCAAAACATGTATTGTTCATATGCACCTTTAAGAATCTCAGTTCCCATACAAGTAAGAAACTTCTCATCCTCCAGGCAATTGATTTAACTGGTCTCTCATCTTGCAAGAGTGGAAGCTGTATAAAGACAGATGCAGGATCTCAGAATTTGGAGAACAATACTTGCAGCCCCACCTTGCTGACTGCAGCATCTGACCAGTAGGCCAGGGGTTGTATACTGCCTTTTGAACAAGCACAAATATTTCAGGTAGTGAGTTAAATAAGCCATGTTAGTCTGAAGTGAGGGCAAGCTGACACCTGAGGACTAGGTGGTTCAGGGAGGCATGAGCCTTTGTAGGTGAATGAAACATAGCATCTAACCAATTAAGCTGTCACCTATAATAGCTCATGCCTCCTGAACCAGTTAGTTTCTAAGGTGCCACTTCAGAGTTGACTGAGATGAATGCATTTCTAAAGACAGCAGCTGATGTTGTTTGAGCTCTGGCTGTAGGTAGTTCTAGCCTGGCTGACTTCAGGAGGTAGAAAAAAGATTTTCTACATGCAAACTGATTTACCTTGAGAACCATTACTGGCAGATCTGAAAGTTCCTCCTTGACACTACCATTGTACTCATTCTGCCTGAAGACTGGAGCTTCATCATTACTATTGATTACATTGATGACAATGAGTGTGTGGTTCTCCCACTTGCCATCTGAAGCCACAAGCCGGAGCTCATAGCGTTGCTCCTGCTCATAGTCAAGATGCTCAGCAATGAAGATTGTTCCCACTTCAGGTTCTACATCAAAAGCTCCTTTTGTGTTCCCTGATGTAATCTGGTATCTTATTTTGGCATTTGCCCCTAGACGAAATAGCAAATATGTAATTACTACTACATACAATTCCATAGTGTATACTACCTCTTAGAGCATAGTTAATGTGACTAATTTTCAACCATGTTAAAATCAACAAAATGAAACAAAGAAGTTGCTTAATCGTAGACCAAATAGTCTGTTCATTCGCTGCTGAAAAATGTAAAGTGTTATTAAATGCTAGAAGCCATTTTGTTTAATATATTTTCTACACTGAACTCAAATGTCTGTTGTGACTGTTCTTTCATTTATTTTTGCCACTAGGTAGTGCTTAAATATCAAACCCCCCCAGTAAGATTTAAAGGAAAATATTTCAGAAAAAAATTATTCTTTTTTACAATCCTAATATTTGCTTCTGATGGTTGCAAAATGCTTGGAAAAGATACAATTTTAGGTGCTTCACAAGATAAGCTACTTTTCACTTGAAACAAGACAAACCATCACCATCCTACATCCTGCCCCCTCCACACCTGAAGATGTATTAAAATTCATTTCACTTCCATTTGAGGCAGGGTAAAAAAAATTCACACAGCATGTTTTAATATGGATATAATTTTTATTTGTATGTGTGTTGCACATGTACACATGCACATACACATACTTATGCTATCAGTAGGAGGAAAAAACAATTTTCAGTGTTTTAAGTTTACCACTTTTTATCCATGTTACTGAAATGACAGGACCAGCTATTGACAGACTCTGAGAAAAAGAAAGGACTATATTCCAAATACCAGATTTACCTGCAGTCACCAAGATGAGACTGCAGGTATTTCAAATACCATATTTACTTTCAGTCAGCAAGATGAGATTGTAGGCATTTCAAATACTGTACCATATTTAGTCACATACCACATGTGCCCTTTTCCTACAAAAATAAAAAACAATCAGCATGAAAAAAATGTGATGTTTAAGCTAGGAATCTGATTTCCTTCACCAGCACTTCACTGCATAGAGGTGCAGAAGCCTGAAAGACACTGTACTATGAGGTGGCTGACAGCTTCTCTCCATCTGCCAGGAAGCAGGGCAGGGTAGGGATACTGTCCAGTGTTAACTTGTTCACAGCTGCTCTCAAACTGGCACCAGTTTTTGGCAAGTTTTATCCCATAACAAGGATATGGGTGATATGTACTATACTACTGTGGGTGTACAACTAACTGGGGCATATGGCACATGGTCATAGGTATTAACAGGAGTGTGATGAATGTATTTTGTTCTAAAATAAAAGGATTTATAGCACATGGGTGGCCTAGGTAGTGGATACTTGAGTACATTATTAAGAGTTCTTGATATACTTGAAAAAAAGAGAGTTCTTCTCCTCTCCCAGCTGTCGGCAGCCCCTTGGAAGCTTCTGAATTACTTCATTAAAACAAAAAATTATGAACTCACAAAAGAATCCTGTATTAAGGTCTTATATAATGCATTACTACATAATTAATACAGTATTATTGTAAGCACTGAAAAGATGAGTTTACTATACCTTCATCTGCATCACTTGCTGTTGCTGTCACAACAACATATCCAACATCCTTGTCTTCATCTATACTGATTTCATGTACTGAATAAGGGAAAGCTGGAGCATTGTCATTTACATCACTGACAAAAATCCTTACATATGTAGTATCTGCAAAAGAAACAAACTGGGATGACAGACTAGATATACAGAGTTAGATGTGAGATATGTTAATCTATCACAAACATCTAATTATAGCAAAATTAGAGTAACTTGTTTTTCCTACCTCTTACCTGGTACATAAACCATGATTTTTACCTGTGTTGGGCTGGCTGTGAATACCAGGTCTTGCAGACTCTGAAGAATCCCGAGACTGTACTTCAATGAAGTAAGATCCTCTCTTCTCTCTGTCAAAAGTTGCTTGGGTGGAAATAACTCCCGTCTCAGAATCAATGGTGAAGAACTGGTAATCTTCACTAGCATCTTTCGATATTAAATAATAAACCTGAAACTCAGAAATATTTAAGTGAGGTTACATTTTCCATGCATCAAGTACATGAGAGCTAGGTCCCCCTCATCCCAATTTGGTTTTTCCAAGTATTTGCAGAAGTGTGCCATTATAAGAATAGGAGATTCATATTCAAAAGAGCAAAAGAAAATAACTAGGTTCATGCCTGGTCACATATGCCTATGATCTGATGAAACAAATTGTATCAGTTAATAGATTTTCAACAACAATGGCAAACACAAAGCCACTGTGCCTAAAAGTCTTAGTATGTTAACAAAAAGTTGAATTTTTCTGCAGAAAGAGCGATTTTCCCATTAGTTTAGCACAGAAGTCACTGAAGATATGTGTGGGTAAGAGCCATTTAAATCATGCAAATAGTACTAGCCATTTGCTAAATCCAGTTGATTTCTACATTGAAGGCACTACTTAAATTGGTTTAAGAATCCTTGATAACTCATGCTGGTGCAGCATTGCTCTACTGTTCACATCTCATTAAGGCTTATGCTTTTTTATTCTGAACAGAACGTATAATTGAACAATCAAGCCACTCAGCCCCTTGCCTGTGCTACACTGAGAATCTGTGTAACAGCTATAGCAGTAAATAAGGCTGGGAAAAACTAAAAACATGTGGTCTCAGGCCCTGCAGGATTAAGTGACCACTGTGCAATTCCAGCCAGTCTCCTGACCACCAAAGGAGCCTGCTATCACAGCTCAGACTGTACTGCTATATTTGACAGTGACCACTTCAACAGATTTATAAAGTTACAAAGGTGGTAGCAGGTTACAAATCAATGTTCTGTCTCCCAAGAGCTATCATAAGGATTTTTGTGGAAGGCACAAGGAAATAGGCAGAACAAGAGGAACTACTCAGTGCTGTTTGTTGATATGTGACAGGGCTGGCCAAACAAATTATTCAAGTCTGCCCCATGCTTTAAATGGAACACTCTAGAATTGCCACAGCATCATGTGTATAAGCCCCTGCGGGTTTAAAAATGGCCACTGCAGCACTAACTAAAGCTCATCCTGTGGCCATTTTTAAATGTGTGGGGGCTTGATACACGTGATGCTGTGGTGTTTTAATTACAAAGTGCCTCTCTGGGACCTGCTCTAATGAAAACATCCCTGTCCTCCTCACCCCCAAGCACGTGTATAGGCACCCCAAGAGAATAAGTGTCCCCCACAGTTATTCTTGCTATTAAAATGGTGGGGGCTGGCTGGAGAGCACAAAAGGCAGCTTCATCATGTCACTGGATGAAGACTGATTGCTTGGATCAGGAACTAAAGCATCAGGCAGGCTGCATCTTTTCTCTGAACTAGGGAAACAGTATGCATCCTCTTTTATATAAATCAGATGCAGCCTCTGATCAGGTAAAATTTAGAAGTGAGGTTATACCTGCAGTTCATTACTGCCTTATCTGCTACTCATGCTCTATGATCAGTATAACAGGAAAACCTTTCTGTAATATCAAGACAAAAAAGTACAAAGTCAAACCTGTCCGTGCAGCCCAGAATCCAAGTCAGTAGCTAAAACCTGTGCAACTGATGTCCCAATATTTGCCCCTTCAGGTACAAACAACTCATAGGTAGAAGATGTGAAGAATGGAACATTATCATTAACATCTGCAGAGAAAGATTCTCTCATTATGGTCTGAACAGTATTACCATACATTCAAAATAATATAAAACTTGCAAGTTTGTTTGTTTAAAAAAATTTTTTTTTTCACCTGATTGGGGGAAAAAATATCACGTAGCTTCTGCTATGATGCAATCCTGATCTCAGCTTTCCCATTCTCAAAGCAGATAATAAAAGCATTTGGTGATTGTGAGGTTTCTGGAAGTCTTAATGATGCAATTTCAGATATGATACCAGAGTATTTAAGCTAATAAGCAATTAACCCACGGATACCAGCAGGGCTGTGCGAAGCTTTGGTAGCCGATTTGATTTGGAGGAGATTTGTCCCAATTCAGCAGCCAAATCTCTGAATCAGAATCAAATTGGGAGACCAATTAAACGGTCTGAATTCAATCAGAAGCCTCTGAATCAATTCAGGAAAGATTCCACTGAATTCGGAGATTTGCTCATAGTCTAAACAGGCAGCAGTCCTCAAGGATGCTGGACACAGCTGCCTCCAGCTGTTGTCTGTTGTGGTGGGCAGAGGGGAGAGGAAAGGGGCATGGTGGGGGCAGATCAACTCCCCCACAGTGAGGGAGGGGCTGGGACAAGCTGCCCAGCTGGGGGGGGACTTGGGCTCAGCAGCACTGGGAGTGGGAGCTATGCCCTGCTGCTGCTTGCCCCCTTCTGCCCACAGTGAGCTGTGCCTGCATCATGCACCCTCCACCCCCAATCTGGGCAAGCAACAGCAGGGCATAGCCCCTGCTCCCAGCACTGCCATGCCCACATCCTGCACCCCCCACCTCCCCGAGTCCTGCACCTCCTCCGCCCTGATTGGGCAGCTTGTCTCAGCCCCAGCCCCAACCCCTCCCTCACTGTGGGGGCATTGATCCGCAACCCCCACATCCCTTCCCTTCCCCCTCCGCCCACCAAAACAGATTTACCAGGTGGAAGCAGCTGTGTCCAGCATGGTAAGGACTGTTGCCTGTTTAGTCTATGGCCAAATCTCTGAAGTGGCACCAAATCTTCGGATCCAGTTCAGCTGAATCAAATCAGGACAGTGATTCGAATCTCTGAATCAAATGACTGTCCCTCTGAATCATCCAAATCTGAAGCAAATACTTGTCGCTTCACACAGGACTAGATACATATAGTCCAGTCCTAATCTTACAGGATCAGTGTCTCAGCATGCCTACCAATGTGGGTGTAACTGGAGAGACTCACAGTATTTTAGGACCTAAAATAGATGGTGTTTCTAGGTTAACAGGACAATGTCAACCTGAAATATAATCATTTTCAAAATACAAGTTACAAATAGTTTCATGTGCTCCACTTTTCTCCTGAACTCCCTGCCAATTCAGTTTTACAACCATATATTTTCAATTAAAATGTTTTCCCAGTTCCCCCATGAGATGGCAGAGAAGCTTACTGAAACATATCATGAAGTTCAATGACAACAGATCAAACAGAAAATATAAACTATTTACACATAGGAGAAATCTTTATTAAAGTAATCTTTGGAATTATATGCAACAAGAGCAAGTAAAATGATAAGAAAATTTATTTGCAGTCTCTTTCTGTGATTGAAGAGGACAAATACGTAGTATCTAACCCTGCAAACACTTAAAACACATTTAACTTTACTATTAAAATTGATATTTGGTTTCAACACGTGCATGTTTGCAGGATCAAGACCTGTTTCCAGTTGTGTGTGTTGATGCTGCAAGCTTCCAAAACTTAATGTATTCATAATTTTCTGTAAAGCTTTCCATAATGGCAGATGATTTCCCAGGTGTTAACTCAAAGTGAGTTTTCTTCTACAGTTTTAGCCAAAGCACCAGTCATTTACTGTGTGAGAGTGGTGCATAAAAGTACATCTGCCCTAAAGATTTTTTTTTGTATATGGATAAATAAACGGCTGTAATTTCACAAGGAGTTCTCAAGTAGTTATATCTCACCTGCATTTACACCATCCAAAGTGTATCTTACATGGATGATAAAGTATTGAAATATGAGTTTGCTTCTGGGCAAAATTCACTAATCTTTATTACAATACTATTAATATGACTATGTAATAATGTTATTCATTAATATAAGTTTTGGTAGTTAGGCCATAATCTCTGGGGACAGAAAACATTTCTTCATTATGTACAATGAGGCCTACCTTGATTTTAGAAGCTACCACTATATAAATAAGTAGGTGTCTGTTGTGGCATATTATGGAAAAGTTTCAGAGCTAAAAATGCTCTTCCACCATGCAATTAGGAAATAGCAAAATTGGTTAAGAAATAAGATGTGAATATGTAGAAATTAAAACAGAGAAACAATGTACAGGAACTCACATTATGGTTACTATTGCATGACCATCCCTCAACACTCAGGAAATGCAGAAATAAAAGGTTTTCACAGGATACCCAGTTCACTCACATTCTGATCATAAGTCACTCCAAATCAGAAATAATTGCTTATGCCACAAAGAAGGTCAGAATCAGGACTTAGACTGTTACTGAATTCTACTTATGTCATTAGTTTCTCAGTACGGTAATATATGTAGTAGCATCAATTTCAAGAACATGCCACAGTCACCCAGTTTCACTCATAGTGAAGTTGGTGGAAGCCTCACCACTGACATCACTGAGAGAAAAGCGAGTTCACAACACAGCATGTTTTAAACCAGGGGAGCTTAAGCTCCGTCCTATGGGGCTCCCCATGCGGTGAGAAATTTGGAGGCAGGAGAGCAGTGGCCATTAATACAGTCACCGTCCCTCAGCTGAACTGCCAAACCCCAAGCCCTGCCATGCCAGTGGCAGCTGGGCCACACCCCTTCCCCTCTCCCACATCTGGATTGGGGCCATACCCCTTCCCACCTCCCCACTAGGCCAGTTTGGAGGCAAAGCATGCCCGCTCCCATGCAGGGCCAAGTCACACCCCACTTCACTGGGGAGCTCAGCCATGCTTTTCGCAGGGCTGGAACTAGGTCATGCCCTCTTCTCTCCCCATGGGCCCAGTTTGGGGGCAGGCTATGTCCCCTTTCCAACTGCCCCTCACCATGGAGCTGGGCCATGCTCCCTCCCCACAACAGGGCTGGATTGGGGCCAGGCCTTGCCCCCCCTCCCCCTCACCCCTTGCTCCTACCCCAGGCAGGGACAAGCTATGCCCCCTTTCCCCTGCAGGGCCAGGTTGCAGTTGGGCTGCCCCTCGCCCCCCCTCTGTGTGGCCCAATGGTGCCTTCTACACTGGCCCCTGCGCCACATCAGGACCTCCAGCATGAACCAGCCCATGGACAGACAGGGCATTGCTTATCCCGGCCACTGAGGAAAAAGGTTGAGCATGACTGTTTTAAACCACCACCAACTACATACAATTTCTGCAAATCAATGTCTCTCTAAGGAGTTCTGTTTTTACATTTTCTGTTTCTCTACAATTATGACCGAAATATTAAATAAAAAACCTTGTGTGTTTATTTGTATTAAAGCACAAATTCATATTAAAAATAAAACACTATACTTTTGAGATTTCAAGGAAAGGAATTTTTAAGTCATGTTTTTTAAATGTACAGCTAACATTTACTAGGAATGCACTTCGGCATCCTAATCCCAAAGTCAGAATCCTGCCAGTCATTCCCATCTCTCTAAAATATAAAATATTACCAAGAATGCACTCAACTCTCATGGAAACAGGGGTACAACTAGGCTCCTTCTAGCATTAGAAAGAATCCTTAGTAAATTATATGTACACAGAATTGTAGTGCTTCTTAGAGTAGATTGGTATGTCTATTATTGTAGCGGTAAACACACCAAAAAGCATTACGAATTTTGCACCAGCATACTTCTCATTTTATAGTTATATTTTGGAATTTCTTGAAAAGGCTATTTCTCAACTGCACACAACCCACTTTTTATAGTATAAAAATCTTAAAGCAATTTTTAAGTCCATGCTTTTTTCCATAATTCCTGGTGTTATGTTAAAACTATGCAGATGTCATTCTGAAGCACCTATTCCAGTTACAATATTTTGGTGACACCTACCTGTGATGTTAACATAGACAGTGGTGAAGGAGGCTAAAGGAATCATTGCTATATTTTGAGCCCTGACTCTCAGGGTGAAAAATGTAGTTGTCTCAAAGTCCAGGGGCTCAGAGACGAGGAGAGAAGCAGTTCCATTTCCTCGGTCTGGTTTCAGGTAGAAACGAATGGGCATGTTAGTCTCTGGAACCTGACCATCCTCCAGATTATAAGTAACCCTTGGATCACCAAAAGGGGATGTGGCTTTGATGGTCTGAAGGAAAAAAGAGGCACAGTGTTTGTTTATGAAATGCATGATTCTGAGTTTTAAGATGCCCAGTTAGGGAGGTTAGGGAGGGGGCTGTACATGCGTGTTCAGAGGGACAGACCAGGGAAAGAATTTGTTTTTGTTATGGACAGTTCAGCAAAATTTTGCACAATGTCTTTTTGGGGCAGTGTTATAATTTCAAGTTGTAATCTACATTAAGTTTTTCTGCTCTGTAAATACTCCAACAAATACCATCACCTTCTGTTAAAGGAGTTCCCTCAGAAAACTGAAAGGAAGGCTAATTACAGATTCCCCAGAGGATCCAGCTGTACCTGTGGCCTATCTGGATAAAACAAGCTGCTCCCAAATTCTTGGCTACCATGCATAAAAAATGGAGAGGAACGAGATTAATAAATGACCAATTTACAGAAAAGACTGTTTAGCCAAAAGCAAACATTGTGCGCGCATCAAAAAAGAAACTTGTTTGCTAAAGAGGTGATGCATATACATTATATAGTGCCTTTCCTTTCAAAAGGTCACACACCTAAAAATAAAATGATTCATCCAATGCTAAAGTGTAGCAAAGATACTACTACAGGAGTTAAAGACAAGATTTAAAACAAAAATTGGAAATTTTGAAGTAGATAGAATGGATACACTCAAGATGAAATTTGCTCAAGACAGAGTTAAGATGTTAACTCTTAGTGAAAACGTTCTAAGATTTTTAATGCAGTCCAAGCCTTGATTTCACATCTTACTCAATATATGCTTCTCCCAAGAACAATCTAGATGCTGAGGTACTGATTTAAAGAGAGAGAAGAATAAATGAGCAATTTGTTCTACAACTTCTTCAGTTTTCTTGGGAGATTTCTCCATCCAGAAAAAAAGAAGTGAACAGCTTGTGAGATCTAACAGAACCACAGACTGGAGATAAGACTAAAGTATGAGGGTCTTGTTGCAAATTACGCTTTGAACTGCTCAACTGCTGACTGGTGCTAGTGCCAGCTCGAGTTTGGGGCAGTCACACCTTATGGCTAAAAACCTTCTCGGACTGTCTCTCACCTGCACAGCTGTGACTTGTCAGTACAGGGTTGGCAAGCAGGGGCCTGCCTGCCTACAAGCTACAGCTGCAAGTTGCCATTACAGCGCCGGTGAGCCAAGACAAGCTTCTATCCCCACTCTAGGAGGGGGTGTGAAAGAGATGGGCTAGGGGAGAGGGTGAAAACATGAAGCTGGGAGGTAGCGGATGGTTAAAGAGGTGGGGGTGGGTAATGAAATGGGAGATGGAAAGGAAATGGGGGTGGGGGAAGGGTGATGAACTGAAGGAAGTCAGCCACTGAAGGATAAAATAAAAAGTAAAAAAAAAAGAATGTAAAAAGAAACAGGAAGTAAACTAAAGGTCTTGTTTTTTAATGAAATGGAGTTTGGGATTGGGGTGTAGGGGGTGCTGGTCACGTTTCCTGGGATGGCTGGGAGGTGGGAGTGGGAGCTACTGCCCCTGCTCTGGGAAGGAAGCCCCAGCTCATGGGGACCCAATCCAGCTCCCTACCTTGTTCTCTCCCCGCCCTCCTTAGACCCCACTGCTGGACCTGTCTGTACCCCGTGACCTGGCTAGAGGCATGTTGTGTGCAGGCTGTTTGCATAGGGTTGTACCCCTGGGGGTGGGAAGAGGAGTTGGCTTCATGCCAGAACTGCCCCCCTGGGCACTAGAGTTCAGGGGATGGAAAATTTGTCCAGACAGAGCAGGAGGATGGGGAAGGGGGCGCTGCATCTTGGCATGCTGGAGGACTGCAACTTGGGCAGTTCATCCCTGCAGACTGGTCACACGTTAATGGAACACAAACTGGGTAACATGGATCAGAGACAAAGTTACACCACACCAAGAGTTAAGCTGCCTAAAGTTTGCTTAAAATAGTTTCAGGTGTTAACGTATGGAAAATTCAGGGGTTAAGAGCTCTAGAAGCCACCTGAAATTCATGTGTAACAAGGCTGTGAGTGTGTATCTCTCTTTTGTAGAGAGAGGGAGAGGAGAGGTAGTCATGAGAGGTTTTTTCATAGCATACCACTATCTTGGTGTCCCGAGTGGTGCTCTCTGGGACTGTTACCCAGTATCTGCTTTGCTCCCAATGGGGTGGCTGGCTGAGTAAATTCATGATAGTTACAGTCAACTCCACTGTGCTGCTTCTGTTGCCTCCATCTGTTGCTACAATGTACCGGACAATTCGAGAGGTCTACAATAAAAATCTGTAATTAGCGCGTAAGGAAATCTAAACACTGATTTGCATAAATCAACAGGCTCTCTGTGACTTGATCCAGATGTAAAATGTCACTCTGGGTTCCAGATGAAGACATAAACATTACCTGGGAGATTAAATGGTTCACATATACCCAGCCTGTGCTGGGGTTTATCTGGAAGTATTCAGGCTGTTGGTGTAACATTGAGTATGTGATAGCAGCGTTCACACCTTGATCATTATCATGAGCTGCAGCACGCAAGAAACTTGCACCCACTGGTGTGTCCTCCCGTAGGAAATCTATGAAGGAATGAGAAATATATATATTTTGAGCAGGACTTGTGCTAATTTACTATGTTGTGGGTTACGAAAACTTCTGCAACAAAGCAATTCTACAAGTGAAGGAGCACATTC